ATTTCTACATAGTTGCAAATTTCCCATATTTCCTTCTTTTATTGATTTCTAGTTTAAATTGTGGACAGAGAATACATACTTTGCAAAATTTAAATCCTTTTAAAACTTTTTTTTTCTTTTTTTGGTAAATCCTTTTAAAACTTACTAAGACTATTTTTTGTGGCCTAGCATATGGTCTATCCTGGAGAATGCTCCATGTACACTGAGAAGACTATATATTTCACTCTTATTGGGTGGAGTGTTTTATATATGTCTCTTTGAACATACTTATAATAGTTGCTTTGAAATCTTAGTCTGCTAAGTCAACATCTAGTCCCTTTAAAAGCAATTTCTATTGCCTGCTTCTTTTTCCTTCTGTATGGGTCATACTTTTTTCTTTGCACGTCTTATAATTTTTTATTGAAGACTGAATATTTTAGATAATAAATTGTAGTAACTCCACATAGTTATTCCCACACCCTTGTTGTCGTTACTTGCTTTTTTGTTTGTTTATTTGTTTAGTGACTTGTCTGGACCATGTAGTGAAGTCTGTTCCCCTTCAGTGTGCAGTTTCTGATGTCACTTCTCACAGGGTGCTGCCTTACGCATGTACACAGTTTCCCTGACCACCAGGGGTGATTATGGTTTTAGCTGACTCTCTTTGACTCTCCTTTAAGCTTCTGGTCGATCTGCCTCTATTTGTATCAAACACAATTATTAGTTTTCACAAATTGCTAGCTGATTGTTCTATTGTTTTTAATAATGCTCTGGACCACAAACTGCTCTGCAGTCTGATTCAATTAAAGTTTGTACCCCTTTGCAGGGGTAGGGTGTTGATCATCTTTGAGGCTTACTCTGACCCCAGGAAGGCTCTTCTCATCTGTCTCTTTCCCTGATTCTGTCTGCTAAACTTCTAGTTGGTCTATTGCTGCTACTGTTAATAGTATCATGGAACTACCACTCTCCTCCTGAATGCTTACTCCCAAGATCTCCATTGTTTTCAACAGTACCCTTAGGCATGAACTTCCCCATGCTCTGTGCCAAATCCTATTAGGCAGAGTGGCAGAGGTCTCTGTTCTTGACCTGCCTCTCCCCCTGGGCCAAACCTCCATGCCATTGCACTGGAGCTTGGAGCAGGCATAGCGGCTTCTGCTGGAGTGATAACCCAGTTCTACAAGTGGGTGGTAGACCGGGATGATAGCCCCTGGTCTTCTTGGCTCGCCCTTCCTGGCATGGCACTTCCTCCCTATGAGTAAGTAAGGGTGGAGGCGATTGAGATCCAGTGTGTACAGCCTACCATGCCTGGGGTAGAGCTTCCACCCAGTGAGTGGGAGAAATGAGCCCTAGTCCACTCTGCTGTGCTTGCTGGAGGGCATGAGGGATGCCCATCATCTTGCCCCTTCTGGGGCAAAACCAGAGCCCTCTACTGGGAGCTGGGAGAAAGGGAGTCCTATCTTCTTGGATGTACCCACCTGGAGTAGAGCTCCCTTTACACTGGGAGAGATTAGAGTAGATCAGGACTTAAATGCCAGAAACTCTCTCTGTTGATACCAAAATTTAGT